AGTTGTATCGAGAAAGAATAAACTAGTTTTAATTAAGAAATGACTTGTATCGCTGAAGTTCCTCGGAAAGAATTTATATCGGAAATTAACAAAAAAAAAACAAAAAAACTGAAAATATGCCATGCCCATAAAATAATTTAAAACATTATATCCCACAATAGTGATACTCTTGAAAGTTGACTGACCTGGAGACGACGGGGACACAATAGGCGTGAAATATTTAAAATTCTAGCTCAGTAATGTCCCAAAACATTGGTACCTAGTTCTTTGATCCATGAATCTTTTAGTACTGATACAAGAATAGAAATTAATAAAACTCGAACATGGTGTTACAAACTCTGCCATTCTGGAGTTTTTTTATTATAAGTTTATGAAACAGAGAAAATTTGTTTGCAACACATTTTTCCAATCGATAACAATAAAATATAACAAACAAGTTCGTGACAAGCGTACAAATTTTATACTTATAGATGATAATTTTGCATATATAACCACTAAAAGGACAATATATGATTGTGAGGTTTAGTGTAAACCAATAATAAGATAGGACTAGTATAAAAGCACGTTAAAAACGACGGGAAACCTTTGATGAATAATTAACGAAAATAATAGAATTTAACTACAACAAATTTGTCTGTACCTCCGAAATGCTCCTACTCTTCACTTATTTCATCATTCTCGAAGTACTTCTTTAATCATCATGTATTTAATAAAAACTACCCAGAAAAATGAAATGTTATCGTGTGTGTACTCTGAAAGAGACTACAGCACCCTTGAGCCTTTTCACTGTATTCTAGAACAGGAAGTAGAAAACATAGTGCGGACATTCCGACACAAATTTTCAAATATTTCGTTTGTACAACGGACAAAAGATATTTGATCGTAATAAACTTTTATATTTCTTTATACTTTAAGGCCAAGTAGATAACATATGTGTTATAATACCCAAAAAATATTTATTAATTAATATTATTCACTACTTTAAACTTTTTAAATACCGACACAAATTTTCAACGCTCTCGACTGTACAAAGGATAAATGATATTTGGTAGTATTAAACGTTTATTTTCATTTATGTTTTAAGGCCAAGTAGGTAATATATGTGTTAAAATACCAAACGAATATTTATTAATTAACATTTATTCATCATTTAAAACTTTTTAAACACTGACTCTATAACGCTAGTAATAGTAGGCCTATTTGTAGTCTAATTTAATACATAAACGTTTGTTTGTTTTGAATTTCGCGCAAAGCTACACGAGGACTATCTGCGCTAGCCGTCCCTAATTTAGCAGTGTAAGACTAGAGAGAAGACAGCTAGTCATCACCACCCACAGCCAACTCTTGGGCTACTCTTTTACGATCGAATAGTGGGATTGACCGTAACATTATAACGCCCCCACGGCTGAAAGGGCGAGCATGTTTAGTGAGACGGGGATTCGAACCAGCGACCCTCAGATTGCGAGTCGAGCGCCCTAACCACCTGGCCATACCGGGCCTACATAAAGGTAACTTAAGGCTTAGCTCAAACACTACTTGGTAAATTTTATTTACTTTTGGCTACAACTCAATGTCATAAAACTTCTGAATTAAACTATTTTGCTGTTATATCACCGTAGTTATCAAAAATTAAGAATTGAAAAAAAACATTTATAACAAATGAACACGAATATTGTGTATTCAACAAAAGCACCATAATTGGCCTGAGAACAATCGGGTGATAGTTTTGTTGCTAAGCAACGATGTATATTGTTGATTATTACCAAAAACGGAGCATGAAAGCTTTCTCGACAGAGTGACAAAGGGAATAAGCCTTTTATAGTTAGTGATGTGATTACCCATGCCAGTTTATGTTTGGATACTAATTGAATTTCAACATTATTTGATAAAAATCTTTAAGTGTGTTAATTCTAATAAAACATCTTATTTGGGTAGTAACTATATAGATACTCTTCGTTATTCCTCACAAAATACCCCCAATAAGCAACTGCCCCAATGTACACCAATTCAAGGTTTTCCATGAAAAATATTGTTTGTTTGTAATTAAGCACAAAGCTACACAATGAGCTATCTGTGCTCTGCCCACCATGGGTATCGAAACCCGGATTCTAGCGTTGCAAGTCCGCAGACATACCGCTGTTCCACTGGGGGTCCATGAAAAATAATCAAAACTGGTTAACGTTTTCGTGTCAAGTATTCATTATTTCATTTTTCGTTGGGAAATAAGAAGGGAAAAGAAAAAAAAAATATCTTTAGAGGAAGTAAAGCGAGTCGATTACAAGTAACAAAGCTTCTAGAAGGTCTACATGTGTAGTTTCCTTTAATCGTTTTCACACGCACACCTCTACTTTTTCCTTCCAATTTGCTTCATAATCTTTTCTGGTTTAGGTGATCAAAAATAAAATAAAATAAACAGTATGTCATATGATCGGAGACCCCTTTTCATTTCATTCGTGAGCAAATACTTAGATATATATATACATAAAGTACTGCAAAATAATTATGTAAACGGTGAGTAAAAAGGGCCTAAAAAGGCATTTACCTTTCGAATGGCACCCTTAATTTTATCAAAATGAACTGCATCAGAGTATAGTCGTATGATGATAGTTTAGAAAACCGAAATTCTCAAAAAGAGGTGTTAAGTATGTCAAGGTCTGTTCTTTACTAGATAGACGACGGTTGAGTCGACAACCTTGTTGCAAATATAGTATGAGTGTTGCCTCGAGAACAGTAAACGCAAACCACTGCAGAAAAAAAGGGTAAAACAAACGAAAAGGTTGAAATAAACATTATATCTTAAACAGTGGAATGAGCAAATTTCAAATTATTGGGCAACAATCAATGACAGTTTGTTTGATGTCAGTGAGAAGAACAGTATCATATTCAACGTACAAAGTCTACAGTATAGTATGGGGAGAATTAGTAAATGTTTGGATCTCAGCCAACTTAATGTGCGGGCAATCTTACTATGCCCAGTAGTAGTAGTGTGAATGTCATGGCTCCCAGAATTGAAATACCGTATGAAGAGTGTAGAAATTATTTTGTTTGGTCTCGGATACTTCATGCTAAAACTTACGCATCATCATCAAAAACAACCAAACAAACAACTCTTTCATGTTCAATTAATATTCATTTATTTTATAAGATCTTTGTATTCGTCTACGTTAGTCACTAGAAGAAATATGCTGTAAAACACACAATGTTCCTAATGTATAGATACAATGGTTACTGATGTCAGTTACCAGAAGAAATGTGCAGTAAAACACACAATGTTCCTAACGTATAGATACAAGGGTTACTGATGTCAGTTATCAGAAGAAATGTGTTGTAAAACACACAATGTTCATAACGTATAGATACAATGGTTACTGATGTCAGTTACCAGAAGAAATGTATTGTGAAACACACAATGTTCCTAACGTATAGATAGAATGGTTACTGATGTCAGTTACCAGAAGAAATGTGCAGTAAAACACACATTGTTCCTAACGTATAGATACAAGGGTTACTGATGTCAGTTACCAGAAGAAATGTGCAATAAAACACACATTGTTCCTAACGTATAGATACAATGATTACTGATGTCAGTTACCAGAAGAAATATGTTGTGAAACACACAATGTTCCTAACGTATAGATAGAATGGTTACTGATGTC